TCTTTTTGATGCATATTAAAAGCATTAAGGCTGTGTAATATTTACTAAACATATGTCATGTTAACATATCTCGAAATTTTTATTTTTCCAAAATACAAAAAAACAATGAAGCCTATCCCACATGTTCTAGATTTTATGTTAAATATAGTAGTTGCAGTGTTCTCCATGAACTCACCTTCATTATACAGGGTTCCCACCAAATATCCTCTTTCCATGCAGATAGATACATTTTTGTTTCCGTGGCAGTATATAGATGAAAAAAATTGAGACAACAAACAAAATATTAGCATGAACAGAGCAGCTATAACAAAATCTAGATTACATCTTTCTTTTTGAAAACTGGTAACACAACACAGAAAAAAATACAAGTCCGTCTTTTTACAAATAACAAAACTTTAAAACTTATCTAAAATGTACAATATTGATTAAAGCACCATACACGATAAAACTGACAATTGCTCCTTAACCAAAATGACAAAAACAGTCTAAAATTATTATATAAATATCTTAAGGCAAAAATTTTTATACAAATTTATGAAAAATTTAACAAATATAAATATTAATAATTTGGGCAGCAACTTTTATAGGTATTATAGAATAAAATTGAATTTATGAATTTTTGAATAAATGTAGATTCTCCTTTGAAAACATTAAAAATACACCGCAAAATTATGGTGATGTGTGCTAATACTTTAAAAGATCAACAGTGGATCTTTATTAAGAATAATTTAAAACAAACCTAACAATACAACTAACTTTTTTAATAAGCTTGACATATATAAAAAGCACCGAAGGAACTTCTGTGAGAAAAAAAAATAAACAACTCTTATAATTATGGTTAAAATCACCTTATATCACAATAACCATGATGTATAATGAACAGAAACTGAAGGCAAATACTGGGTTTAAAGATGAATATTACAATCACTGGGCTAGTAAAAGCTGCATTAAAAAATAAAATTTATTTGATGGCTGCCTCTGCAAGCAGAAAACAACTACTAAGGAACATTAAATGTAGAAAGAAGAATATCTCATGTTATACATGTTTTACTACATCTTTTTGTTGTCTACTAGTAGCAAAATATATAGACTTTCTACACCAGAAGACACTATTATTCTCTAGTGGCAGAGGCTGTTTTGGTGTTAACCATTTTTTTATTCGATACATATTTACTTATCACCTTTAATATACACTCCACCTCTATCTGTACAATCATTCATGTAAATCTTTCATTGCTGGAAATAAAGCTTGAAGTATTCTTTTATCAGCTCCTAGAGAAGGAGCACAATTTTCTTTTTGAAAGCTTTAAATTACACCTTTTTCTTTAGTATAGCTTTCAATTTAGTAGTTATACGGAACTTATACACAAATAAGGTGGACAGTCTTCTCTATTATACAAAAGATGGATTACATCTTTGAGTCTTAGTGAGAGTGCATGGCAAGTGGCAAGTAGCAAGTAGCATGTGTCTAGCATGTTACTTAAAATGTAACCAATGTAAACAAATGATTAGAATGAATGACGTCACTGTCATTTTGGTGGGCGCTGAATCATTCGTTTTCATTTTTTAAATTTTAAGTAACATGCTAGATGCGCTCTACTTGCTACGCCAGTTTGGTGGGCGCTCTCCCTTACTCTAACAAATACTTTGTTTAAGTCAATCAGACACAGAAATGCTGGTTTATTAACTGTAGTGATTTCTCAGTAATTTGCTTTATAACGAATATTTAATCTCTACACAATCTTTCACTAAGAAATCCCTGTTGTTCATCTGCTAAAGATGAACAACATTATCCTCTGGTTCATTCATTAGTTCTTGTAAAATTTTAGTTGTAAGTTTTAGGGTAGTATTTAACAAGTTTATACCTCTGTAGTTTTCTGGCTGTTTTCTCTCCTTTTTTTTTAATAGTAGAATTAGTTCTCTTGTTCTGCATTCTTCATGTATTTTATAATTTTAATCTCTCTGCAATATTTCAGTAATTCGTTTGGTATTCTTTCTTTACCTGCTACTTTTCTGTTCTTTAGCTTTTCAAGTATTTTACAAAGTACTTGTATATTTATATTAAGTTCTTCATTTGTGGTAATTTCTGGTGTTTCCGGTTCTAGCGTCGTTTGTTCTTCCTCTGCATAGAGATTTTTTAGGTAATCAATCCATGTATCATTTTTTATGTGTTTGGGTTCTATTCTTTTTTGAATATTGCTATTTAAAATCTGCTGTATACATTATTTGTCAACACCTACAGATTCAGCAATCACCTGATTACTTAACTGTAGATCAAATCAATCTAAGTAACTGTTATTTTTTTTTTCAATATTGCCATCTGTGGATGTAAATTATCTTCAATATCTTCCCAGCCATCTTGAAAATGCTTAAGCCACCCGAAAACAAGTACATGTGATGAACATTCACTTACTTTTTCCAACAAATTACATAAGAGTTTAGAATTTCTCAAGAAAAACTGAAAACAACTCTAATGAAACTGAATACTACAGTTATTATGTGGATTTATTTAAAGAAGTGAACGTTACTGCATTTTGGAAGAGAAGTATTTACATTAAACAGTTATCAGTTGCTGGACTTAAGCACATACAAACTTAATAATGTTCTGAAGCTATTTTGTTGTGGCATCTTAAAGTAATTACTATTTTAATGGAAATAAGCCACAATTGCAGTTTAAAATAACTTCAATTGTAACGCGTCAATGTAAAAACTAGTATAAATAACATTAAGATGCATGGGTATATTTAGAAATTCAAAGAAGAGTCCAACATTTAAATAGTTATTTGATAATTTTTAATTATCAATTAATTTACTGTATACTGGATGTTAACCACTTACTCATATGTAATGTATGTGTAATAATGTCTCAGAGGTATACATTTTAAAGAAACATCATGTTTAGAAATAATTTTCAATTAGAGATTAAATCAAATATTTAAAAATGTCCAAAACTCTGGTAAAACTGATAATCCCTAACTCAGACTTTAAACAACAAGCTTATATACACATATGCATGAAAAATAAAAAGGTTGAAGAAAAAAGACCAATTAAATCTACCAAAAAAACAGACATATGTATAGCTTTTATATTTCTTATAGCTTTTAAACATCAATGTGACAAAAATGTCTTACCTATGCATTTCTAAATGTCTCGCAAATTTGTTTATATTTAGCCAATATTTGCATATGCTCTGGCTAAAGAAGTTGTGGAAAATTTCGCAAAAACTTTCAAAAGATAAATTGAAATTACTGATCCTTAGTTTTCAACTGTATATCCTCAATAGAAATATTTGTAATTAAACTCCATATCAATAGTTGCTTACACAATTAGTAAAAATAAATTCTAGCACATGGAAATGGAACTTCATGAGAAGAGTCTTCTAAAAATAATATTTAGGAAATTTGTTTGTAAGAAATAGAAAAACCCAGACAACTGAAGTTTATGAAAACTTGGTGGTATAAAAGAAATAAAGTTATGTCCAAAATAATTACGCAAAAGACAGCTCAATTGCAAAATTATTGCGAAGAGGCAAAAGAAACTCAAGAAACTACAAGAAACTTAAATTTTATATAAGCTGGAAATATTTCTTAAAAAATCTGATGTCTCACTCATTTGAATCTAAGCTATTGTTGTACATATCCATACTGGGTTAATAAAATACAGTTAAAATATATTGTTAAGCAAGAAGGGTTGCAGAAGAAACAAGAATTCTACACTCTTCTTCAATACTCTGATTAACCTACAGTTAATAAAATAAACTATAGGAAAGAATAAAAGTTAAATAAGACTCAAAAGAAAGTTATCTTGTAAAATTGTTTATATATGTTAGATTGCACCACTAAGTAACTAACTAGAAAAAGTATAAATCATTTCACAAGTTCTTATGCCAACAGAGCAATGAATAAAGAAAAAATATATTAATATAATATTAAAAGAATATTTAGTGTATTATTATGAGTACTATAAGCTATAGAAGCATCAACTACTTTTGCTGTATATTAAACTGAAATTTCAAAGACCACAATATTGTAGAGGACTTCAAAAACAAATCAAAGAAGGGAAAAACTAGATTAACATTAGATTTTCCAATCAAATTTAATTATAAAGTAGTAGAAAATATAGAAACCAAATGCTGAAATTAAAGCAAGATACCTAAAATAGTAAGAAGTTTTATCAAACACATGGAGAAAGCTAAAAAAAGCAGAAGTATATTCTAGGAAATAAAAATAGCTAGAAAAAGGTAAAAAGGGATGGAAAACATTTTAACAAAAAGCAGATATAAAAGCCAATAACACACAACAAAGATGTTTGAAGTCATTATCAAACACTATTGAACCAAATCAACATTTTGGTTTAAGTACAGTTTTAGTTAACAGGAACAGCAAAAATCATACCAAAGTAGTAGATGACTAGAAAAAGTAATCTTATTATGCTAACGGTTATCTGCAAATAAATATTGTGACACTTTTGGAAAACTACAGTTTTCAATGTTTTATTTATATTATTATTAATTTTTAACTTTGTGATTTCAACAATTCTACTATTAACTAAGTATTAATCTACTTATACTTGATTTGCATTGGTGGAAAACATCTAGTAATTAAAAAACAGTGTCAGGTACTTTGTGTGTTAAAAATTTTTGGTGGTATGTACAAATATAATTATAATAATATAAATGGAGTCTAGACAAAAGCAAATTTTCATCATTGTTGGTTTAAGGTTTCCTATACAATCAAAATTTTATATTTTAAGATGTGATACCTTTTACTAGATACTTGTTTATATCTTTCAAGGTTCATTTGAAACATTTACAGCTTGATGGGAACCCTGAGTGTATCAAAAGATGGATATTCAATACATTTTGCTAAGATAAAAATTGAATTTAAAAACTTCCTAATGTCCTTACAATTAACAAAAAAAAAAGAACTTTCAATTGGCATCTAAAATTTGGGCTACTTTAACAATAAAAACAAAAAAGAATTGTCTAACTTCCACGAACTTCACTGTTTAGATACACCTCTGTTTTTTCTCTTAAAAAAGCAACAACATTTAGTCTCATCAAATATTTCAATTTCTTGTGGTTGAGCAATTGGTGCACTGCTGTGAGCAGTAGTGTCATCAATATTAAGTTCATTATTTGTAGAACTTAAAACTTGAACTGAATCATGGCGCTCAGCTGGAGTCAAATTGCCTAAGTGCTGCTGTTTCCTGGATACATGGCCAGCATTTGCTTTTGCATTTTTGGTTAGACCTTTCTTTGGCGATGTCACCTTGTCATGAGCAGTAGTAGATAGAGAACCTACTGACGTGTTCATAGTTTTTCCTGTCCAATCAAACTCTCCATCTTCCACATATGTCTTTTTATTAAAAAGTGTAGTAAACAACTTCCTCAAATACTCATAATCAGGGGTTTCAAAAAAATCTAACCTTCTAACATATCTCATATAAATAGAAAATTCTTCTGGGTGACCATCACAAAGTGATTCTATAGATGTAGCTCTTTTGGTATCTCCTATTTTTTGATATCTCTCTTTTAAAGTATCAGCCTTTAAACCTTGCCATGGCAAAGAACCTCTTAAAAAGTACATAAACATATGACCTAAGGCTTCGAGATCATCTCTGCGAGATTGTTCTTTTCCTAAATGGGTATTTATAGACATATATCTGGCAGTGCCTGTAAGGGATTTGTGCTCTCTATAAGGTATGTGCTTATTTGTTTCAGGCTCTATATACTCTTTGGCTAGACCAAAATCTATGATATGAATAATTTTCTCCCTTTTTGTGCTAGTACGACCTATTAAAAAGTTTTCAGGCTTTACATCTCTGTAAATTAAGTGTCTGGAGTGGACATACTCAATACGGTGCAACAACTGGATTGCTATCATTAGTACAGTTTTTAATGAAAACTTTCTTTCACACATGTCAAACAAATCTTCAAGACTAGGCCCCAAAAGTTCCATAACCAAAGCATTGTACTTACTGCATGGTCCAAAGTAATACACATTTGGTATACCTTCATGAGATCCAAGTAACTTATAAAATCTGTACTCCAAATGTAATTGTGGAGCCTTAGACCTCATAGGCTCCATTTTAATAGCTACATGTTCATTGTTGTAAAGGTTTTTCCCTAAACGGAGTTCTCCAAAGTTGCCACAACCAATTTTTTTACCAACTCGAAAATTGGGACCAACCATAAGGACTATAGAAGCTGCATTAGAAGCATAGCGAACATTTTGTGGCTCACTGGCAGCAGTACGTTTGGAATTCTGCTTTTGATCCATTTTTGATTATTACTCCTTCTTACTGTTCACTAGAAATAATCGTTAATCCTACTAGAACAATGCACAAAACAAAGTACTTTAAGGTTCTTTTAAAAAGTGAATGCATCTAACTGATCTATTTGAAAACTTTGTATACTCACAATTATAGGCAGACATGTCTCGATTTTGCTCCTCAATCCTTCTGTTTTGAAAATATGTATGAAGTTTTGTCCGAGCTTTCCACAAATTCGGCACAATTTTGTTTCCATTTTTCGGCATTTTCACAACATTTTTGTTCCAACAACAAAGCGAGAGATTGTATATATCATGGCCAATTTGATTTGACTTCAGCGACAGCTAATTCAAAATATAGAATTGTGTCCGCAGTTCAAACATTTTCAATATATCACAACCGATTTTACGAACAACAACTGATTCATACAATTACGTAAAATTAATTCTTTATGCTACTTCATACAAATTTATCTCTTTGCAAAAAACTACATCCCACAAATGCCAAGACGCCATTTTAAATTTGGGTTGCGAGATTGCAAATAATTTCCAAAATCTTTCACAGGTGTCTCTTCATTCGACGAAATAAATTTAAACAGAATTTTATAAATCAATTTTAAACTAATTTCCTTATAATTTGATTATAAGATAATAAAAAGTAATATCTTATAGATTGTTATAATTAATATTCTGACAAATTTTGTATCATTTTTCATTTTCTCTATATCCACATTTCTATTCTTAAAGGCAGCTTTACATCTAGGCTATGCAAGTCTCATGCTATGCAAGTCCGTCTTGCATGGCACATCTCTTGCCTAGCTTGACCTTTTTACATCAGAGATATTTCTGTGCAATTTTAGATCCCACTTTCATTGTTGCCAACAGAGAAAATATTTATCAATTTGAGGTTATTTTATTTTAAATAAAAAATATAATTATAAGTACTAAAATAAATGATATAATAAATAAATATACACTATTTATGGTTATTAAAAGGGTGAAGGATGTCAACCAAAGAAAAGAAAACATTGTTATTGTTGAATATTGCTGTTGTAGCAACAATCATCCATAGTCAACGACTCACCCAGTCGTTTTTACATTAACTTTAGACATAGTATATCTATTTATCACCACTTAATAAACTTAATTTAAATCAAAACACAGCAATACACATGTGGGTTAAAGATAGAGATAAGGTTATGTTTTATTCTGTAATCTATTATAAATTGTTATGTTGGCAACATGAATTTTAACGATAAATTGCAAGAAAATTGCATGAAAAATAGAACATGTTCTAATTTTTCGTCTAGCACAGGAATTGCATGGAAATAGCCCGTGGGCATGCGCAGTTCCATGATCTGTCTTGCATGGCTCTTGCCTAGCATGAAAATAGCATAATGTAAAACTGTCTTAAGAAGTAAAAAATCCACTGTTTCTATCTTCTCATTCTTAAGAATCTTAAAAATGTAAAACAAATAAACTGATCTGTTTTAAATACATACAAAAGTACAAAAGAACAAAGAACAATAGGAAAACTATATAATCGAAGGATTAATGAAACAATAATTAAACAATTTGTCATAATCAATTATCTAGCGAGAATTCTATAGTTGTAATTTATATTTGTTGTAGTGTAAAACGGTAAAAGCTAATTAATCATGTATTTAAATTATTGGTATTGTACATTCTAAAAGTAAAATAATAAGTTCTGATAAAAAAGTAGATAAAATTTTTGCGGTTCTATGTTTTGATTTTAAATGTCAGTTCTCGGTGGTTCTCGGACAGTCAATTTATATCATTTGACATTTTAAAGAACAAACCCAAAGAGCAACAGAAAAGAACATATTTTGAATTTGCGTAATTGTGTATTTTGTTTACACTTTTAATTTTATTTTTATTAGCGATATTAATATTAACAGTAAATAGTCATGGCTTTAACTGGATTCCTAGATTTTTTCCAGAAAGGAAAGGTAAATTATATTTTTATTACAAAGAATTATTTTTTGCTAGTGTTATATTGACTAGACGACTAGAGGATGCTACAGAGATAAATATCCTCACAATATTTCTAATTTTAGACCTTCAGACCCAAAAAGAAATTTGCTCATGGAACAATACGGTATAGTCTGTATAAACAAGCTCAAGCTAGTTTAAATTCAGGAATTAATTTAAGAAACGCTGTAAAACTACCCCAGGGTGAAGATTTAAATGACTGGATAGCAGTTCATGGTAAGTATATCCATAAAAAACTATTTAAATGTATACAGAATTAAAATTTAATGCAGTACATGATACTCTCATTTATATTTGATGATTTATAAGTCTTTTTTATTGTGGCAGGAAATTGACATTTCCAGGGTTAATTATAATTTGGTCTATTAATTCTTGTTTCCAAAAGCTTTACATATTTATATATTGTATACCTATGTATAAATACTTTCATTTGGTACATATTATCATTTAAATAATAAATGTTGTTCAACAAAGTAGTTGAACTAAAAATAATAAGGTAATTGTGGGAATAACATCAGAGGGGTTTATTTAATATCAGATGAATTAAAACCTTGGGGAAAGATTTTGAAACATTTCACTTTTTTGTATAAAAATGTAATGCTAGAAAAGTTACTAATTATATGTACACAGATGGATAGAAATAAGAGTTACTGTGATCAATTTACCTTGCTTATTACTATAGAAATATAGATGAGCAAATAACTGAACAATTTATTAAGGGATTGGAATAGATGAATTTCTGTATTAAGAACTAATAATAATATACATACAAATAGGTACCTACTTGCAAAGCTTACACATTTATGTTGTTAACCCTTATATACCATACTTAAAAATTGTTATTGAATTTTCTATTTTTCTGTGTGGTCTTGTTTGTTTGATTCCTTCCACCACTAACTTGAATGTTATTATGATTTCTTTATTTTGGTATTTGTTTTTAATTTTTTTGATTATTTTCTTATTAGAAATTTACTATATATAACATACACACACTTTCTGTAAATTAGTATTAAGTGCTCAAAAACTAAAGACTAAAACAAAACACAGTTTAATCTTTATCAATATAAATAAAACACCATGCAGTAAATATTGCTTAAAACCCAAGAATTTAATTTATTTTTGATTCTATGAGGGCGGTACTCTGAGAACCTTCCAAACTTAAACACTTAAATATGTTACTGATTAATGTTTCATAAAATTAAGAATCTGGTTGATTTTATATATTTCATTGATGGTGACAAGTTAATGGAAATTAATAAAAGAAGAGATTTATGGATATAGATAAATATGGACCAAGTTCATAGAATATATAAATAGAATGTCAGTGAAGGTAGCTAAGATGTTGGTATTTCTCACTTGAAGTGAAAAAGGATTGTCTTGTCCATATGTTAAGGTGTTATATTGTGCATTGGCGAGATCTATCTTGGAGTATTCTATGGTAGTGTGGTCTGTCTTTTTATAAAATATTGATTGAAAATATTCAGCATTGATTTCTTTGGTTCTCTTCATATTAATTTCATATACCTAGACCAAAAATTCATATACCTAGACCCTTTCCTATGTGACAAAATGGGTGCAAAAGATGACCCACATGATGAACTTTTAAAAACTGCTATCACACAGGAAATTAATAGAGTGCATGATATGGTTAATCATATTTTACAGAAATTGTAATGAAAAAACTTATGGGTGCTATGTGTGCTCCCACTGTGGCTCATTTTTGTGACACTTTTCGTAAATTTCTTGGTATGCTTTAAGAAATACACTAATGGTTTTTTGCATCAATATATTTATTTATTTATTTAGTAATGAGTAATGAGGTAACTCAATACTGGGGAAATAGAATATAATACCAAACCTAAAAACATCATCAGACATTTAAGTAAAATATGTTCCTCCATGAGGAACACCCAAGGTGGCCATTATTTAGTCTGATATATTAAGCTTAACTCTTTGATTATGATCTGACAACGAATTTTTGACCCATTCAATAACCTGACCATGAAATCCCACAGAAAGCAATTGCGCAAGAAGAATTTTATGATCAACATGATCAAATGCTTTGCTGAAATTATATATAGCATCCACCTGCTTTTGACACCCGATTTTCTTCATAAGCTCAGACTGATATTAAACTTAATTAGTATCTGTAGATTTTTTTTGCACAAAAACCATGCTGAGACTCTGACATAACCCCACTGTACAACTGATAGTTGTTTAGCTATCAAACTATCGAAAGTTTAGGTATTGCAGACTGAATGCATATACTTCGATAAATTTCAATGTCTTCTTTGGACCACATTTAAATATCCATATAACACAATTCTCCTTCCAAACATCAAAGAATAGAGATGACTGTAGTGAGCTATTAAATAAAGTCTGTAAAGGCATGGTAACAGTGCAAATACACTTTTTTTAAAGAAAATTGGAAACATCATTAAGTCTAGAGGTAATCTTATTTGGAAGAGAACTTATGCAATCAAAAATGTCAATGAGAGTGAGTTCAGAGATATTATAATTTGTGCTAATATTGCAATTGATGATATTTGTGGTATTAGTAATCTCAAGGTTATTAACTCTTAAGGAATAGACAGTTTGAAAGAAATCTTACAAACAAATTAGCAATGTCTTGCCCATTAAAAGCAGACTAAATCCCTGTAAACCATAGCATTTGGTAAACTGTGACTAGAATATTTATCATTAACATATTTCCAAAGTGATTTAGGATTGTTTTTCAACTCAGTATCTATACTTGTAACATATTGATTAAAGCATATACCTGACAAATGTTGGCATTTTGACTTAAAAAGAGAAAATTTACTATACTTGGCATCAGTAGCATATTTCATATACAATGAGTCAGCATATCTTTTCTCACATGTTAAAATTCTAAAGTCATGGGAATTCTAATTCTGAAAACTTCTAAAATTCTAAAACCATTTATGAAAAGTTGATGTTTTGTATCTTTTCAGAGGTATAAAGTAGAAAATCTGTAACTTAATTATTAATTCTATCCAATACTCTGTTGGTGTAACGATTAGTGTAACAATATAAGAATTCTTTTATTTGCAATTAATAAGTTCTAATGCACTGAGGCGCAAATGCTTCATTCATATAATTATACGTAAATATTATTTCAAGCTTAGTTCTGGCGAATCCATCATGCATATCTTAGAAATATGACACTATACCAGATTTAAGTCACACTGTCTGCCCACGACCGCCTTTAAGATCGTATGAAACTTACATAGAGTCTAAAAAAAAACAATTTTGAACTTGTACATTAAAAAATAAAATTACAACTATCTCTCTCAATTAAGTTGTTTTACCACAGCAGTTAGTGAAAGTATTTTTAAAGAACAGTGAAAATAATAATTTCCTTCCTTTTTTGATATTGTTTTGATATTAAAACAATATTAAAGAGACCTATATTAAAAAAGTTAATATCTATGAACGAAACTAGTAAAACACAAAATAATGTACGTCTGACAGGAAGTATATTAAACTAAGAGTATAAACTCTACTTGTCTTATTTTAATACAATAATGTTTAACAATGAAGTATCCATAAAAGAATTTGTACGGCGTTATTTAAACGAAATTATAGAGAATTTAATTTAACTGAATTTCATAATGAAGCTATCAAGATAGCTGAACATATATTTTTATTATTTCTGAGTAAGAAAATTTGACCATCTACACAAATCGGCTACCATAATATCTAGGAATATAGACACATATCGCACCCTCAGTGCAAGACTGCAGTAAGTCAGAATAAGTTTCGAGATAAAGACGATTTTGTTTATTTTTGTGCTAATATCGGTGAAATAAGACACAAGTTTTAAGAAAAATTAACATATACTTATGATTTTGCATGCTTTTTAGCCTATATTACATTAAAAAAAAATAGAAATTTAAATAAAGTAATATTAATGCTGAAAAAATTATAAATTTCAAAGTTACAACACTTTTGCATGGAGAAAATTGTTGATCACTACACATTTAACATTATAATTTTAAAGTTATAACATTTTTGCACGGAGAAAATTGTAAAAAGTGTAAACACATTTTCTGTTAGTTGTTGTCCTCTTCTCGTATATCATCTTGTGCCAAAATATTTTTATAAAAACTATTGTGGGCTTCTGGTATCATACCCGAATGGCATAAGTATACCAAATCTTTCTTTTTGGCTATTTGAATTTTTGGCTGTTCTTTGTAGGCAGTTTAAGTGCACTTCTCGTATACTATGTGTAGTCCGTGGTGATTTTTTTTAGATTAAAAGAATTCCATAGTTCGTCATCATAGTTGTACTTTAAGAAAATTGTGTGCGGACTATCTTTTCTACATTGCAGAATTTTTATACCTGTCCACTTCACATTTTCTTTATTTTGATCAATTTTATAGTTGTTTCCCAACAGAAAGGAAACATGTTTAAAATCAATGAAGTCTTTTGTTTCCATTTCCCGGACTATGTAGGATGAATTTTTTTTTTTTTTTGGGACAACGGGGGAGTTGTTTAACAAGTTGGGAATTACGGGGGACAATTTATGATAAGACAATCGCCCCGGAAGGTTACATGAAGATTTAATACAATTTGGGATTTAGTTTTTATACAACAGTTTTCTGAAAATAGATATTTTTAACCTGTCAGTATTGTTAATACACAAGTTTTCCTTTCATAAAAAAAAAATATTTTTTGGCTGTAAATAATTAGTCTTAATTCATGTGTTTTTAATCCAGTCTAATAAATAAATGGTCAAACGACATCGCACACATTTTATGGAAAATATAATGTCACACAATGGACATAAAACTTACATGAATAGATTGGTCTCGTAAATCTTTGTTTATTGTCTCGGCCGTTAATGGATTACGAAGAAACGTTGTATATTAATATTAAACACCACAGATATAGATATTAACAAATATCGTACTTTTTTCGTGCCTTTCATTGCTTGTTATCGAAACCATTGCAATGTTCCGTGCAAAACTGTTGTAACTCCGTTACATTAGAATTATAACAGTTTTGCACGGAACTTATGTACAAAAACGCAAAATAGTTAAACTGTTGTAATATTTAGCCGGCTAAGCATTTGAAAGTAATATAATGTTTTTATTAATTCTAATTTATTGTTCTTATTTTAATTTACTAAAATACGATAATTTATTATCAATTTATTAAACCACTGTACAACGATTTATTTGACTACTAATAAC